TAAGCTGAGTTTTCTTGACCAAAATAAGTGCACATGGATTCTATGGGTTCAGGGTCACGCTGGAATTTGTGACAAGGAAATTGCAGTTAATCTTGCCAGAAAAACAGCAACCTTTTTGCTTGTAGATCCTCAACTAGAAGAGGTTATTTCTTCTAAATCAATCTGAAAGAATATAGGAAAAAGATGTTTTAGGTCTGTCAACCTAAAACAATTAAAGAACTACATGAAACTAAACAAAATCCACCTAAAAATTGTTAAGAGAGTTCTACCAAGATGCTGTAGACCATTCACTTACGTTGGGCCCAGGAATCTAAATCAGTTTTAAGGATGTTCAACTTAAAACAATTAAAGAACTACATGAAACTAAATAACAGCGTTGTTTGGTCAGTCAAATTTCAATAAATTAAAAATAAAAAATTTTTGTCTTTGTCCTTTCTGTGCTATTCGAATCCGTCTAAATAAAATCAAATTGAAAATTATTACAGGCGTTGTACCAAGATATGGTGGGTTATTTTATCACCTTACAAAACCATAAAAACATTACCATACACCTTCAAAACTAACTCTAATTGAACTTAACCGTTTTGTAGAAGAGAGGAAAAGACCTCAGCCCGGCATGTATGCATAAATTCAAGAAATGTCTAGGTGGCCATCTTAGTACTTAGTACCAACCATAGTACCGATTTATCAAGAAAATCGCATTTAAATTTTCTGCATCTTCTCGAAAGAATTATCTCAAGGCATAGATCTTTAATCAAATAATTTAGTTCTCCTTTTGATTCTATTTTTATCTTTTTATAGTATCTCTTTTTCTTCATTGATGCGTTAAGCACAACTAAATTTGTATTAAGCTCTGTCCAATTGATTTTTGGTATGCTCCGATAGCACCAAAATTCGAAGGGTTCGATTTAATTCATTAATCTTGTTCAGGTGAACAATTTAAGAATTAAGATATTATAATGTATCAAAAATTTACAAAAACACATTTTTGTTCTTCAATGAAGTGGACTGTTGTTTCTAATGTTTCTTATTGAAAATCTAATACGACAGTATAATTCAGCGAGATATCTTGAAATACCTGAATTCATAGACTTACTTGGAGAAGACAAGTAAATGTAAACTATAGATATATAAAAAAATATCTAAACGCATTTTTCTCAGTGTTTACAACTATAAAAAAACTAAAATTTAAAAGAAGATTCTATTTATATATAAACTATATATTTACTAAATGTTAAAGGGCTTCCTTTTTTGTCATAACGTTTACGAGGTATGTGCACTTTTAATACCTTATGAAAATAAATTTGAAACTGATTTTGTTAATACATTTCTAAGAAACATGTAGTCGTAGTTTTAAAACAAGCATTGACCTTTCTCCACAAAGAGCTCTATAAATTCTAATCCAATTTTGAACGGCTTTGAGTATCTTAAATTGTCAATTAAATTTACATATTACCAAAGTTTCCAACAGAAACCAACCACTTGCCACATGTAAAGGCACAAACTCGTGCACTCACATACCGTGACGTCAAAGTAGACATGTCCTATTTTCTGTTGAACACAAGCTTCAATATATTTAGACACATGCAGTTGAGCAGAGAAATCAATTAAAATCACTTCTATATAATTTAAATAAAATATCTCTGCACAACAAAATTTTTATTGATACAAAAATTCCCCTTTCGGGTTGAGATGTTGATATACAGAGAATAAGGAGATGCGGAGATGCTGCAGTGATCAAATGTCATTTTGTACTACATATTTTAACTAACCACAAATTTAAAGTCTTAACTATGCACGAAAATGTTTTCGTCGTCATTCATAAACCATTCTAAGTGACAATAAATTGCTCAATAACCACGTTCTTCGTCCGACTGTTTAGTTGGTTGGTTGGTCTGATAGTTACTTTACTATGCTATTTAACCAACGCAATTTTAAGTTGAACGTGTGCAACAAAATGTCACATACAAACTACCTTCTTTGGGCACTCACCTTTATATATTGAGTGACCATAAAAAAAATTTATCGAAACGTGCTACTCGCATACTGCATCATTATTAAGTTGTTACTATTTTATGCCGACAATGTCCTTACTAGTCCTTATGCGTTTTCATGCTGTCCTTTATAACAATAATAACACAATGTCAATCGCTTCACTTGCTGAGGTCAAGCTTCAGTACCGACTCGTATTTTGCGACAAAATATCTTCGAATTTGCAACGAGTTCAATAGGTTTCGTTGCATCCATTGATGAAGAACCACTAAATCCAACATAGTTTGATGTTCTAGTTAATGTAGATGCATAGAATTGCGGCATGTAAAGAAATTTTCTATTCAAAATAAAGCGAATTTAAAGTGAAATTTGTTTTGATCATTTAAACTTGTAGATTCAAAGTCTCGCAACAAATAATTAAAACCACAAAATGTCACCATGTCAATTTGAAAGATCAAAAGGATATCAAAGATGGTCGAAAACTATATTATTATACTGAATAAATTAAAAAGGTTTATTAGCAAAAGTAATTTTTTGTAGTATGTGACAAATGTTGAAAAATAAATTTGTTTCTAATAAGTAGCTTAAGATGAAATTGAAAAGAAATATTCTTTTAATAATGATATTGAAAAAAATTTATTGTTAAAAATCCGAGATTGAAGATATATATATTTTATGCGAAGTTTTGCTATAATATATTGGTGAATACATTGTAAAATTTATAAGAATTATTGTACGCATTAAAAAAGTGTATAGAAGAACTCATATCATTTTTATCTTTCGTGCCAATAAATTTGAATAATCGCTATATTTCCAAACATCATGGACGCACAACCTATAAGATTCAATTTAAGAACCATCAGAGATAAGCCTGCCATAAAAATTCTAGTCTCTACATACAACTTCAATTCGCAAAACAACTGAGTTGATTAGCTTTAAATAGGCTGCGAATAAATGTGCAAATATTTGATTTACTGCTAGATCAAGAGTTGATCAATACTGCTAGGCTAATTGCAGTTCTGTCAAAAACACTGGTGTTAAATTCATCTAACATACCACTCAACGTTAAAACAAACAATTGAGCATACGTTGATGATTTTATATATGTCTATCTAGTAAACATTTCTCTGAAGATAGCTAAAATAAATACCTACTATTACTTTCTTCAGCAAGCTAGCACTATATAGTAGTAACTCACTATATGTATACAATCCCGGTCAATCTGACTTCTGTACAGTCCTGGAAACTTATTAACAGGGACAGAAAGCCGAAAAGTTTTCACTGAAGATCATTACCTATATTTTATTCAACGAGCTAACAGTGTTTAAAAGTAATTCATAGTAACATATATATAATATCCCATTAAACGTGGTACGAGTATTTGTATGATAAAATTAGAACTTGGGGAATTATTAATGGAAATAATGTCAATATTGCTAGGTTTATTGCAGTTTCTTCATAACTTTGGTGTAGAAATACATGTAGAGAACCCTCATATTAGTTTCTATACTTCCATAAGTTGTGAAAACTAAGACGGGAATAAAACAATTATGCAACTTCTCTATGATTCTCCAGCTTTAGTTAACAGAAAACAGAAGTTTTAGGAACATAGTTTTTTGATAGCATATCAGAAAGCCTATCTATAAAAATAGGTTATGTTAGGCTAAAGTAGCAACCTTGTCCATTCAAACTCAAATAATGGCCTGTCGTAACACCACGAGTTAGCGTTGTTCATACACAGACTAGAGGTCAGCGTACAACAAAGCCGAAAGGCACGATTTTCCCATTCAGAAAAAATTGTGCCCAACTTACAATTTTATAAACTTATTTTTGGCGGGATGACATCTCTGAAAAGTTTGTAAAAAGAGGGTCCTCGAATATTTCAGATATTTTTTAGTCAATGCTGGACATTGACACATGTAGAGCACAGTTTTTTTTACATGTGCTAAAATTTTTTTGTTTGATTGCTAGTTAAGCAATTCCAAATGGGATACAAATATCTAACAAATGAATGTGAGGGACCAGAATATCTACAAGCTCATCCGCCCTATAGTTACCCGAAATGTCCCTGAGTCCAGGTACATATGTAAGCCAGGTACATTGATACGCATAGCTAACTCTTTAAGAGAAATCCGACATTCCCTAATTGTTAAGGATATGGCTGCAGTGCTTACCAGATATTTAATGGCAACTTAGATGTTCAAAAAGATTACGATATTTACATCGAGACTCAGATGTTGCCTAGAAATTCTGTAAAAATAAAAAAGCTGATTAATTACAAGACGTCTACTTATAACGATAGGATTTTTGTTTTCGATTAAGTCTAAAGCATTAAAAGTCTTAGTCAGCAAGGTTATAATATTCGCTGCCGCCGATTTAACTTCTTACCATTTGGTGTATGTTTCGCACATATGTGAAACTAGATTGACTATAATTATTATACTTCAATAAATCAGAATGTGTCTAGCATCTTCAACATCTTCTGAGCATATAGGGTAGTAGAGATCATTTTCTTTTTTAAAGCAATTACGGTATTGTTTAAAGCAACCACATCCTGTAATTATCTGGAGATGAAAGTAAAAATCGCCATGTTGACGATTCATCCACATGTTTTGATCTTTAAGCAGAGCGTATTTCCAATCGACCAAACAGTTGCTCCTTCAGTGCTACTATTTAGTAATAGTTTGTTATCGTGTAGTTTCTCTTAATTTTGGCTCTCTGGATAAAATCCTATTTAACCAAAATTTCTACTCCGTGTTTTGTATTAATTTTATTTTATGTCTTAATTGTTTCTTTTTTTGGTGAATTATTGGCAGACATTTACGAGCTTTTAAATGATTTAAAATTAAATACAAATGTCTATACGATTTTTAAAAAAGTGAACAACTACTAGTATCTTATAACGGACACACATTCATTATCGAAGTACGAGTATACGAGTATCTAACTTATTTTTGATATAATTCCTTTGATTTATGATTCAAATTCTTTTTCTCTTTGTGTTGCAGTTCATCCAGTTATTCAAGTACCGAATCAATTAGTTGGCGCACCGCTTGGCACTGATGTTCAAATTGAGTGTCACGTAGAAGCCTTTCCAAAATCAATTAACTACTGGATAAAGGACACTGGTAAGTTCAACGAGTGAATGAATCATTTGTTTTGCATTTTATAGACATTCTGTGCAAGTGCTGCCATGGCCATTAGTCAGGTCATTTATTCTACCTTCAACTATAGAAACACGCCATTTAGTCTTGCTCTCTATGTATATGAAATATACATACATATATATATATATAGTGCGTATGGTTGGGTGTACGAATGTGATGCGATACCACATTTGCATAGTACTTACACTCAGTGATAATCAACTCACTTTAGGATTATCTTTAAAAAAGTTTCCACGAAGGTCAAATAAAACTTTTTATAAAACTAAAAGAGCCAACATTTTTGTGGCCAAAAATAAAACAATTAATTAAAATTAAAACTCAAAATTCAGAATTTTATGAAATTTATGAAATTTACTTGCCTAACAAAATTTTATTGAAACGTGCAAAATATTTTACTGAAGCAATTTAAATATTCCCATGAAGACTGCTTAACTTTTATGACTTTTTAATTAATTTTTAATGTTTGCTTGTGGAAAACCACAGAAAACACTTAAAGATAAACACTGATAATATCATAACGAAATTTTAATTTAATTATTGGGGTTGATATACAAAACCACTCTAGTAATCAAAACCCGATGTACGGATATATCTGTGTGGCTTTGCAACGGAAGCAGTACGAAAACTAACACTTCAGCAGACATAAACAATTAAATTTGTTTTTCTATTTGCATAAAAAAATAAAAACTAAAATAAAATCAAAAACAAACAAACCGAGTACGAAAGATATTTGTCTATGAAATATTCTAAAATCGACTCGATTTTTATACGATTTTGTTACAAATGCCGGCTTCTGAATCGAATGGAGTTACTACGATAAAACTCTCTTGCAGTTCATGCACTTAACTTGCATTTACTTTTATCTGTGAGTTCGTTTTCTATTTAGTTTATTTAGGCATTTACACTTATACTTAAAATAACATTTACTTCAACTGGTTTATTTTAATGTACCCAGAATCTATAAACAACAATGGGCATAATAAAATTGTCAATAAATAGTCGTCTTCGTCTATTTTGTGGCAAAATCCTAAATATCCTGCCATTTATAAGTGAATATCTGCAATGTTTACTATTTCTCACTTTTGTGATTGTATTTAATTTTCATTTGAGTTGAGTCCTATAACGTTTATTGTTTACTTCGAATCATTATCCACTTTCACATATGTAAGTTTTCTGCAACTTCATTGTAATCCCAATATAATCCCACATTTAGTTCGGCTAGAGAATGGTATCCACTAAATCGTTTAATGTATGGAAGTTGACATTGTTATTCAATTGGAAATACTGTTTTGTTGTTTGTGTGTAAAGATATCATCAACATATTTGCAACAATATTTGTTTTATGGCTTAAGAAATGAATAAGAAGTGTTGTGTAAATTATTTGTAGAAGAAAATAGAAAACAAAAAATTTATAGCAACTTAAATTTCTATTTTTTGCAACTAAAAGATAGTATTGTCTTATACACATTTGCTTGAAAATAATTAAAAATTAAAATAAAGATATATATAATACTATCTTCAAAGTCTAAATAGTAGTCTCAACATTAACCACAATTAGAAGTATTTTAAATAACCAACTGCTACTAAAGGTTGTAGAATAGACCTACAGTGAGGAAGTGATAAAAATTAATATTTGTTTAAAACAAAAATAACACAATTTACCACTAACGAAAAATCGGTCAGTTGTTTTTCGTTTGCGGGAATTAAAGTTTAGTCACCTCAACCGAAGAAACTTTTTCGGTATACATTCACTTCGTTACCTGATAACGTTTTGGAATTTAATTACATTTATAAATAAATAAATCGTTTACAGAAGATAAATTTCGTGTGACGGTCCTTGGCAGTAGCATGACTGGTACATAAAAGAATATATTGTACATTGAATATATATGTATATTAGGGTGGCCGTTATTTACGAATGTGTTCAAATTCTAGATGTCACCCCCTAAATTTATTCGAATACTCGAAAAACTTCTAAATGTGAAGTTTTAGACTAATCGGATAATGTTTAGAGGTCGCTCATCGACCTTAAACTTCGGAAAAATGCAATTTTTTCACTTTTTTCAAATTTCTTCGCTCCCATCTCGCGTCTTTTTAATTTTTTTAATATTATTCTTTAACATAGCTTTCAAATAAGGTAAAAATCAATCAATTTCGTCCACAATTAACTAAATTATTACTAAAATAAGAAATCATACTCGACGTTTATTGAAGCTTTCAAGAGCAGCATAAATAACATTTGGGAGTAAATACGAGTACGTATGAGCGAAAGCACAGTTTCTTGGACACAAAATGGTACAATATAATATTTGAAGACAATCAAATACTTCCTCACTATATATAATTGTCCACACTTGATTTGAATAATATGCACAAAATAGATTAATAAATATAATAAAAGGAAAGGAGTCCTTAAGTAATTTATTTAAAAAAAATATTAAATTTATTTATTATTTGACAAAACTGTTTTAGTATATTTTTTAAAAGTCTTTCTATAATCTGTTATTACTTGCAATAAATATTGTTTATCTCGCTCATTTTTACCAAGGACTCTATTAAATTCTTCGAAAAGTTTTACTCCTCGCTCTGCCGTATCATTAACAGGTCTTATACTGTGAACAATTTTTAACCCGTGTACATAATCTGTATGTTGGTTCCATTTTTCTGGTTTTAGGTTTAAGAAATCTGTAGATATATTGAATCGCTTAAAAAAGTTAATGGTATTGGCTGTCACAAAATCCTCTAGTGATTTCGATAAAAAATCGGTTACATTCTCCGTCTTCAAAAGAATTCGTTTTTCTCCGTCTTTTTTAATATCGTCCACATTGTCGTGGCTTTCATTGTTATCACCACTATCTACTTCAACATTCATTGATATAATTTTTTTTAACTTATCTGCCATTCTTTTTTTAATTTTAATTGGAATGTTGTCATCAAAAAATGATAGACCAAATGCATTCATCGGATAAACCCCATAAATGGTTACACATCTTCTTAATAGCAGCCTCAGATATTGTCTTATCAATACATCTATAATTATACATTTCTTTTATAAAACAAAAATCTTGGTAAGCTGCTTCTGATGCTATAAGACATTTGAACCAATATTTTACGTAAACATGTATTATGAACAAACAGATTTCTTTTAGCTTTTGCTCTTCGAAAGATGAACTCATTTCGAAATAAATATATCTTTAAACAGTAAAGGGCTTTGGACATCCAACGAGCATGCTGCATTGGTCCAGGGTCACGGAATATTGGTGATGAACTTTCTCCCAAAGAGATGATAACTAGTTCCAATAGTTCTTTATAGTCATCTCTGCAAATTGATTTTTGTAGTTCCTTGTAACAAAAAGTTGTTATTTCATCCTTAACACCTAAGAGAATTTCTTTTGTTTACTTAAGGACTCCTTTCCTTTTGTTATATTTATTAATCTATTTTGTGCATATTATTTAAATCAAGTGTGGACAATTATATATAGTGAGGAAGTATTTGATTGTCTTCAAATATTATATTGTACCATTTTGTGTCTCATATCTGGCTATTTAAACTATCTAACTAAATTCTTAAATCTTAAATTCAATGAATTAACTTAGAGCCATATTATGCAAAAAGTCATTGGCGCGTCAAAATTGGCTCCTTCAGTCCAATTTTTCTCAATGCATGATATGCAGAGTATCACAGAAATTGTAATCATTTGCTCTTAAAAGACATATATGTTGGCATTCATGTTAAGTAATTGAAGAACACTGCTTTGAATAAGTGACAAAGTACAGATAGTCTCGTCTCTCACAAACTAATATGAACCGACATTTTGTTTTTTTCTCACTTTCAACAACAATAACAACAATTTTGATTTTGATGAGCCCATGACTTTTTGTATAGTATGACTCTTCCGAACTAAACTTGACTTAACCAGCGTAATATATAGCTTAATATAACTTATATGTACTTTATTCTATATCTGAAAAAAATTTAGAATGGAAAATTGTAATACAAATAGATGAGTACATATAAAAGATATGATATAAAAGATGGCAGATGTTCTTACAACATTATTAATGAATCGTTTAAGATTTATCAATATCAATATAGATATTGAGCTCTAGATTAGTGAAAAGGTGTTCAATAAAGCAACTACCAGGAACCTTATTGAAACATTGCACAAAATTTTTATTTTATAAATCGGTGAGGATGCATCTTGTTTTGACAAAATATTAAAAGAAATACCTACATTTTAAATGCTTAACGTTGCAAACAAATAACTGAAAGAAGAAGGTCTATATAATTTTGCAAGAACTACATTGCACAATACCTAGTAACAGAAAACTATAACCATCCTGAAGTTACTAGTTTTTTGTAAGACCATTTAAAATCGTTACCTCGAAGATATTTGAGGTAATGATATCGAAGATGTCATATATCGAATATAATTGTTGTCATGAAAAAAAAATTGGTGATATTCTATGTTCGTTAATTACATACCTACGTTTAATCACAAATAGAAAACTTCAAATTTTGGAAAGTTTCCAGATTCAGTTCTGTACTATAAGAAATCACGATTAGTTTAGTGTATATAACATAGTTAATACAATTCAAAAGAAATATCAAAAGAAGCTTTGAAGGTGATTTGAAGGCTTTAAAGGATAACAAGTTACTACCAATTTATGAAAATACACATTGAAATATAAGAACAGGCGTATTAGAAAGTTTGATTTCAAATTCTTATGGATCTTATGACTTTTGAAAATTAATAATATATATTCAAAAATAGTATTCATTATGTTACTTCTACAATACATTTCATCTTGTTAAACTTTAAACATTTTCAACAGGTGAAATAATTGTGTCAACAACAAAATATCACATCCAGGAATCTTCGAAATCAATGTATGAAACGAAAATGACAATGATAGTGCGTAAATTCCAAAAGGACGATGTCGGTTCATATCGTTGCATTGCCAAAAACTCAATTGGTGAAGTTGATAGCAGTATAAGGCTTTACGGTAAGCTGATGCAATACAATCCTGAAAATTGGAATAAAAAGAAAAAAAAGAAAACAAAATTATATTTTTAACAACAGATTGAATTATAAATCCCATTTCCTACCATGCTACTCATTTTTATTTCAATTACCAACGCCTGGCATTTTACACATTTTTTTACAACTCCATTTGTTTTCTTATTTAATTTTATTTTTTGGTTGATTCCCTTGTTCAACGTGCACATTTTCCACTTTTCTTATTTGTTTCACTTTGGTGCATTTTTACAGAAATCCCTGGGCCAAATCGTAAAAATCCTTCAATTAAACATGGCGTCAACGATGCCGACGCAAATGATGTTTTAAAAATGAAACAAGTCAAAGTCACATATCAGCCCGACGATGAGGACCTCTATGGTTCTGCTGAGGATTTTGATGACAGCGACTTACCATTGCCACCGTTATCAACGAATGTATTTTATCCGACTGGCAATAAGCCGCCAACACATAAAGCAACAGCACCTGGTATGAGTGGCATTGGTGGTCATGGTGTGAACACTGGTACTGGTACTGATTTTGGCAACAACGGTGGTATTGGTATATCATCAAACAGTGGGATCGGAGGCGGTGCAGGCGGTGGTAATGGCATTACACGTAAACCACCATTTTATAGCAAAACGGAAGTACGTGGCGCAATGGACAATAATGAACTGACAGCTGCCGGAGGCCAAGTGTCGATATGGCGTTGTTATAACCATCGGCACAGTCAGTGGCAAGTTTTAATAGTTTTGTTGGTTCCTAGTTTAATCACTTCATTTTGTTGGAATTTATTATAATACGCGGTTTTTTAATTCACACATACACAAACACACAATGACACACATACTGAAAGAAACAGTGACACTGAATAGTCAGTGTGAACACCAAAAATTACAAGCCATCATTGTGGAAAAATTCTGTTTTTTCCGGACAATGATGATGTGTTACGAGAATTTTTAAGTTGAAAATTAAATTGTTAATATATTTATATATAAAACAAGCATATATACAAATATTTAAAAATTCAGCAATTGATACATATATATATATATAGAAATACATATATCTATATAGCATACCATATATAAAAATATGATAACGTTAATGTTAAATTTAGTGTAGCGCTCAATTAAATTAAAATTGTTAGTTTAGTTTTTAAACATATATATAATACCAAAACATATATATATGTATATATATATATACATAAAATTATTAAAAATTGTTAAATAAAATGTATTGACTTAAGGTAAGTTAATGAAATATATGTATAATGTATAATTCTTAAGTTTTCAAAGTAACAATCATTTATGCTTTAGATATATATTTGGATTCTATGTAAATAATAAACTAGTATACATACTTCTGATTAAGAACTTACTATTAGTTTGTATATAACACATTTCTTTCAACATTACTATACCTATATATCAAAAAAAAAATTTATATTTTATATAAATTTTTCTTTGTAATAAATTTGGCTTTTTTTTCGTTTATTTAATTTTTTTTCCATATATATTTTTATAATTTTTTTTTTTTCTAAAAATCAAATCAAAAAAATTTTAATAATAATGACTTTTGTTCAACACTTCTATCTTTCTATTAATCAACTTCAAATTATCAATGATTTTTGCATGGTACGGAAATATCACATTATACTAAATAAATAAAAAAAAAATATAATAAAGGATAATAAAAACTTTGGGTGTGCTTCTTTACAAAAACTTTTGATGAAGGTTTTCAATTCTTTGAAAATAAAATTTTAACCAAAAATAGACAAAAAAGTTAAGTTCAAATTTGATTTTTTGTTTCTATATTTTTTTTCAGCTTTTGTAATTTATTTAATTTATTGATTTGATTTGGATGTGACAATTTTCTATTTGTTATTAATTACATTTTAGGGTTAAAAAACAAAAAATAATAAAAAAGGTATTCGCTTATGATTTAAATTAAACAAAACTTCTGCTTCAATAGACAAAAGTTTCATTTCATTTTAATTTCTTTTAATTTCGTGAGATCCTTTTTCCTACTTATTTAATGAAACAAAACAGTTTCATTTTCCTTTGAAAGGACCTGTTCGCACTTCTTTACTGTTTCATAAAAAATTTATCATTCTATATTTGTACTATACTTATTTTATTTTATTAATTTTTTATAAAAATTGTTCATATAAATTTTGTATGTTTCTTAAGTAAGCAGCTGTCGTATATGAAGAAAAGATGTCAAAATTTTTAATTTATGCAAATTAAATGTTGTTGTCATTCAACTTGACATTTCAATGCAAAATATGTGTAACGCATATGAAAATATTTATATACACCTTAATGTATATACTTTATACTATAGCACATACAGCAATATATACTTTTTCACATATACAATATATAAGAAAAAGTTTGTAAAGAAATAAACCTTAAAACTTAAACGAAAAAGAAAAAAATGATTGCATACTTCTGAGGACTTAGGCAAGCTTAACACTGCTTTCGATGTATTCTAGTAAGAAAAACGAATGCATTGCATTTTATCTGCTGCACAGTAACTCAACAAAGATCAACCCAAATGAAGATAAATATACTTTATAATCTTCTGCATGTTTATTTATGATATTGTCTTCTTTCATCAACTAACGTCTTTGGTTCACTTAATTCTTTTACTTTATTTAAATATTTATTTATTATTTTAATTTTGTTTTTGTTCTTTAACAAAAGTTGTTGATTTTTGATGAATTACAAACTTTTACAAAAAAATGTTAGTTAAATAACACGTTGCTTCTGTGGCAAAACTGTACAGTAGCGCATTTTAAATAAGGCGCATTTCGTTATGAAAAGCCAATAAAATCCTATTTGTGTAAGAGATTATTAACAGGCATTTATAAATTAATGATACAAAAAATTACGGCTAACTTCAATCCTGTATATCTAATATGTATAAAATATTATTTACAGGTATTTATAAAATAATGATTCAGTGAAGTGAAGAAATTGTTTTTAATATAAGGTTATAGTTTCAACAAACGCTACATATGTTTCCAATGAACAGAAAACAATAGCAGTCGTTCTAACATTTATTTTCTTAGTTCTTAATAAAATAATTATTTAAAACTGATTAAATATACTTATTTCGAAGCGTGAAAATGGCCAAATCTATATTCCACCAATGCATCAAACCAAATCTAATACAAAAATTAGAGCAATTCAATATCCTTACAGACAGTAAAAACTTGATCAGAAGTAATTAAATAAAACTCTTTCGTAACAGAATGTTTCAAATATAAATATACAATCAATTCAATCAAATTAGTGTGAGACTTTGCCAAGATAAGAAAAAACTTTATTGTGATAGAAAAGATTTCAAATATGTGCCCATGATTCATTAAAGCGCTTCACTCTCTGGAACGTACCTGCAGCCGGTACTGTAATCAAAAGAGTCCTATTGTACCAAATTCATTTTTAATTACATAAATCCCTTTAAAGCTTTATGAACAAAATCCAGAACGAAACCTGGAGAAAAGGTCCAGGTGACAAAAATTTCACATTAAACTTTTAAAAGTCTCAAAATATTTTATATTTCAAGACAAAGGTTTGATATGCAATTCATCCATTTTCATTTTAAATAAATACTTTCATCCATTTTAAATAAAAACTTATTAGCTTAACTTATTACATGTTATACCGTATATATCTCATCTAAATTTCTACATTGACATGCCTAGAAGCGAAAACCATTTCAAACGTATGGTCTCTCGGGACTTACACAGGTGGATCGAAACTTAACAAAAAGGTGGCGGTTTTTCTTCTAATTGCTTCTGGCTAGTTAAGCTGTAATTTCTTTTCTTTCTTTTTGAGTTCTCTAGTACCATAAGACTCAAACTTATGAAATGCAACACTTAAATAAATTTAATGTGTTGTATAAGTGGACAGAACAGCACTACTGCCCGAAAAGATCACATTCCGCTGAGTATTAATTCATCTTTAAAATAAGCCCCCATTTATTTATGATACCAAAGATTACAATTTACAAGATAAAAAACGACTTTACCAACTTTAAAGCTAAATATATTTCAACAACCCTTTTCCAACATCTCCTCTTTTGAATGGGGTGGAATTTCGTGGAAATTCGATTTGATAATACTAAATGCTTTCCTCAATCGTATCTCATAGATTCGGCTCAATAAATTTTAAAAATAGCCTTGCCTATGTTTTCTAATAATTTACTAATATATAAATAATTTACTAATAAAACTTCTTTAATTTTTAATGATTTATCTGTGAATATCACACGATAAATACTATATAAACTTATAAATATATGTGCTATATGGGTTTAACTGTTCTACAACAACTTAAGTATTTTCTTTTAATCTAATGTTGAGCCTAATGTTAGTGTTTCTGGGCACTTTTACTCTTTGATAGCTGAGGGGTTTCTGCAGAGTGCCACCCATCTTACTGAATAATTTGTGTATTCCTCATTAGCTTCGTGATTATTCAATGACTGATCTAAGATCTGCATACCGCCCCGTTCAGTTAGTGATTACTCTGAGATTAGATAGTGCTATGTAGGGCATAGCATATAGCTTCAGAGCTCTGTCGTCTATGTATTTTTTAACCGGATCTATTCTAAGGTCTCTTAGCATGTCATTCATCAGGATGTACCATGGCACTTTGAAGAGTCTTCGAAGAACCTGACTTTGAGCAACTTGCAGCTTCGGGATAGTAGAGTCGGGAGCTTTACTATACGCGACAAACCCATAAAGTAGTGCTGGTCTAATTATCTGGCTGTAGATCTATTAACAATAAAAATAATATGTTAATAGTATAATTAAGTTCAGCAAATCCTAATCATAATGAAAAGAAAGGAAGAATAATAAAAAAATAAAGAAAGATTTAACAATTTCAAAATAGAGCCTGAGCTCTATGAGTCGATATTCGCAAAATAAACAAAGAACTATAAGATAAAATAAGAAGAAATAACAATCCCATAAAAGTTCATAAGCTTGTTGAAAATATTAATAAGTCAATATTTGAGCAAACTAAAGCATTTGAACTATTATTATCTTGGCTTTGTCTTACAATACAAACATATCTGAAATATAAATGAAAAGAAAATACTAAATTTAAAAAAAAATTACTAAATTCACTAATTAATTCTACAAATCCGCTACTTAACTACCACATACATGCCTGTAAATTTAGTTTGTCACAGATACTATCGCATATGCATATAATTTTTAATGAATTAAAAACTTTTGGAAAAACTTTTACAGTAAAGGACACACACATGCATTCAACCAGCAACAACAACAACACTTTACAAATTTTAAAGACACACTAAACTAAACCGCCAAAGGACGCCACTTCTTAACTAATGCTGTGGATGCATTGCTTAAGCTGATGTTGATGTTTATGTTGATATGTTAAGATGAAGTTGACACAAGTGTTTCGAATTACAATACAAAACACATACACACACACACACACAAGTTCTTGTACGCCGAAAAGTGTGCAAAGTTATTTTGCGTTTCAATTATTTGTATTCCATTCTACTCACAATGTGCGTTGTGAGGCAAGTTGTTACTCATGCGTTTGATATTCTGTTGTTCATTTTAACTAAGCGTGTTACTGTTATATTTTATTACATTTTTTTGCACTGTTATTACATGTTGGGTGGCACTGTTGTTGCGGCTGTTTTCATAATGTTAATGTTAAAATGTTACTGTTGCTTTTACTATTGCTGTTGGTGTTATTGCCATTAAAAGAATACAAATTACTCGCTTGTTTGAAAGAAGAAATCCTTAATTACTTTGTTTTGTACTTTAAAATTGTTATTTAATTTCATCCCTTTTTTAACATAATTTTTACTATATCATTTCTTTATTTTTTTTTTTTTTGAAATTGTTTCGAGTTCCTTTTGTATTTACTCCACCATTTATATTGTATTTTATGAGGAACGTCTTGTTTTTTTACTTTTTGAAAAATACTTTTGCTTTTACTTT